TTTGTAAATTATTATATTAACGGGAGTGGAGACTGAAAAATTTAATTAGTTCAAGGGGGCCGTGACTATGCGAATGGAAAAATATGCGCGGAGGCAAAGTTACAATTTTTATATACCCTTTAAGTAAGTTCCACGAAGGTTCATCATTGAGTCTCAAAGATTCATTGGGAGTAATTACAGGTGGTCGGTTTTCAACTTGGTAAACCGCGATTTTTACCAGGAGCGAGTGAAGAGAGGGGGAGGGGGCAGTAGTCGTTCAAGTTGTATTATATCTTCTGTTGGAAACGTTATACACGGTCAAGCGATAAGTCCGGGCCACCCGCAGACAAAACATTTTAACCATTCGCGATTGCTTCGTTTTTCAGAAATACCCTGCGCTTTTTTCCCCCCGTTATTTTTTTTTTTTTTTTTTTTTTTTGACCGAAGAATATAAGAAGCAACAAATAAAATCAGTTATCTTAAAGGATTGCCTGTTTTCTATACCGCAAATAATTTTTAATTTTATAATTTTTTGAAAAAAAATTCTTGGTTTAACTTTTAGTTTCACTTAGGATTTTTTATTTCTTTAATTCGCGATATCTTTTTAAAATTAAGATTCTTTTTTATGAATATAATTTAGTCGTAGATTCGTTTAATGTAAATTAATTGAATTAAATACTTATCTTTCTTATTTTATGGTTAAAAATATTTACCTGGTTGCAATTTATTTTTTTTTTGTTAAAAATTATTTTTAAAATAACTGAAAATTATTTTAAGAACGGTAAAATTATTTTTAGAAATTAAATTATTTTCAGAATTAGAATCATTATCGGAATTGAAATTATTTTCAAAATTAAAATCATTTTGTGAATTTGTGAATTAAAATTATTTTCATAATTAAAATCTTTTTCTGAATTGAAATTATTTTCATAATTAAAATCATTTTCTGAATTAAAATTATTTTTAAAGAGATTCTATTTTTTTTACTAAGAAATATTTTTTATAGCAGCGAAAGTATTTCAAAAGAAATAATTAAACGAATTATTATTAAACGAAATTTCTATGTTGAAAATTATTTTATATCAATGAAAATAAATTGACTATGATTCTATATAATTTTTTTTCCACAAGTGAAAGAATTGAAAAAAATTTTAAGTTATTTTTTCCATAACTATAGAAGAATTCAACTAAAATTTTTTTAAGTCTAGTTAAAATTTTCGAAAATTAAAAATATAATTTAATAGTTGAATAAATTTTACTATTTTATTCATTAAAATAATTAATTTCAATTAAAGTAACCAATTTTTAATTTAAATGACTAATTTTCAATGGAAGTAACGAATTTTTAATTGAAAAAACTAATTTTTAATTAAAGTAACGAATTTTTAATTGAATTGATCAATTTTTAATTAAAGTAACCAATTTTTAATTGAAATAACCAATTTTTAATTAAAATAACACCTATAATTATTGAACCACACTCGAATTAGTTAATAAACGTACCTGCAGTTTTTGTAGAATAATAAAACGTTGCAACCTCAATGTAAGCCTCGTTGGAAGGAAATAAGGATTTTGTTATCGGGATAAGGTATAAACTCCAAAAATGAAGAAACCAAAAAGTAATCTTGCGATAGTATAGCTTTATTTTAGACTAGAACGGAAGAAAATAATATAATATTAATAATATAAAATAATAATAATAAATTATTTACACAAGAGTAGTGGGACCGACATACATAACTTTTTTTTTGAGGAAGGAAGAGGAGGGATTTAGCGACGCGTTGTCCGAAATTTACAATTAAAAATTCACCCAGCAAAAAAAAGAAAATATTTTCAAAAAAAAAGAAAATTTTAGAATTAAAAAAAAATTGCACTTTCTTTTTTAAACTAAAAATCATTATTTTCTGTATTAAAATTCTCATACATACATAAATATAAAATAACTGAATTAAAAATAAATATAAAATGAGAAAATTCTTTTTCTTTTAAAAATGAAATAAAAACCAAAATATGCCCAATTTTTTTTTTAAGAAAAATAAAATTAACACGAAAAAACATTTTCACAATTTTTCAAAGTTTTTCGGATTCTTTCTCTTTCCTTTTAATATTCATTTTTTTTTCAAATAATAATTAAAATACAATTGTAAATTTTCGAAATTCGCTGATCGCCAATCGGTCATGTCTCGTGTACGCGTGTAATTGCAATGTGTTACGTGTACGTGTGTGAACGTTTCTTTTTTTCTTGTATGGAGGAATAAAAAAAAGCGAAGAAGCAAAGCCACACCCTCGCCGGCTGCGATAAAAAAATAAACTAAAACAGTAAAAAGAGGAGTAATTGAAAAAGTAAAGCCGAGCGCACACATTGTACTGCTCGGATTTTGATTTGAAAATTCATTTTAGCTAGCTGGCGAGACTGTGACGATCACAAAGAAATTCATAAATAACTAACTTGTAAAACAATAATAATAATAATAATAATTATTAATAATAATAATAATAATAATTAATAATAATAATAATAATATAATAATAATATAATAATAGTAATAATAATAATAATAATTAATAATAATAATAATAATAATAATAATAATAATTAATAATAATAATAATAGTGGCGATTAAGATCAATACGAGTAAATTCCGTCATGACTCGATATGACGTAGTGCTTTTAACCGCAATGTGATTGTTCAGGCAAAGCATCATTTACATACAGAAAACAAAAAAAGCGCCAACAAAAAATTTTTTAAAACATTTTTTTTAAAAGTACATATATAGAAATTTTGCAAAATTCATTTCAATACTTTTTTTTTCAAAAAACAAACAGCTATACACTTTGTGAACACTCTTAAGAATTTACTATAAACATTCACTTAATAGTTTTTTTTTTAATAATTTTATATAATTTAATTATAAGTCATTTTTTCTTTATTAATTATTACTCTCTTTATTTATTTTTTACTTAATTTTTTCTTTACTAATTTTTTCTTTTTCCTCTATTTTTACTTTCTTTATTTTTTACTTCCTTTTTTATTTTCTTTATTTTCCTCTACTTTTACAATCTTTATTTTTACTTCATTTACTTTTAATTTCTTTATTTTTTACTTCACACTACCTTTAATTTTTTATTTGTTTTATTTAAAATTTCTATTCTTTAACTCTTTTCTACTTTTTTTTTTTTTTTAAATTTACTCATATTTTTCAATAGAATTATTTTTGTTTCTACATTCGTTTAATAATTTTTTTTTTTAAAAACGATTTTTATTGACAATAAAATTTTTTTTTTCTTTTCCAAAGAAAAATTTCTTTTTTTCTCTCTCCTTAATATTATTATTTACAATAAAAAAAAAGAAAACTTCGCCTGAGCAGTCCCATTTTTTTTCATCTATTTTTTTTCATGGGATGAAAAGCGCAACGCGTGTCGAGTAAAGAGTATATTACTCAAATTGCAGGGGCCAGAATCGGGACCAATTAATAATTTTGAAAGAAAAAAAGATCCCCATTCAGGCCCCGCGGATATATAAAATAGGAGTGAGAGCTTTTTTTCTTGTGAGGTATATTTACATAGTAAAATCGTACGAGAAACGACGAAGAAAAGTGTATAACAAAAGATGACACGATTTTATAATGGCTTTTTTTTGCTAAGGGGGCGAAAATAGTGGTGGGGGAAGAGGGGGGGGGAGATACGCGGCTTTTTTTGTCGTCGATTGAATCGGGAAAAAAAAGAAAAAAAGAGAGGGAGGGGGGGTGTACTAAATTACATCGGCATGAAAGGCAATACAGTCTGACCTCCGTTCTTCCTGGCTATACTACTATATATATATTTATATATATTTTTTTATGAATCAAATAGCATCGTGTAGTAATCGATCTAAATGTGGCTGATGCATTTTTTTTTGATTCATTATCCAAATTATTATTATAATAATAAAGTCGTATTGAATTTCTAATATAGTCTTTACTGTACAGCAACTTAATGCAATTTTCCGTTTTACAACGATCGGAAAATTTTTTATATTTTCTAAATAATTAGCTTCGCGGTTATTTTCTATATATTTCGCCTAATTATTTTTATTCGTCTATTTTTTTTTTTTTTATAATCCTAGTGTTTTTTTTTCTTCTTTCACTCATACAGTCTTTCTTACACGTGCTTTTTCTCTCACTCTCATGCTTATCCTATCTTTCATTCTTATGCTATAATATTCATCTGATAGGAACTTTCAGTATTGCCTAGCTCTGGATATATTAAATCGAACTATATATATATATATATAAAAAGACATATTTTTTTTTTGAATTCTAATATAAACACAATAGATTTTTTTCTGGACCCCCTAGAGTATCACACGGGCCCTTTTTTTAAAATATGTATACAAACATGATCCACGAGACGTACACGACACGTAACGCTGCGCGTGCACTCGTAATTCTTTTTTTTTTTTTAGTCGTAATTCATTTATTAATTAATGATTCACTAATATTTAAGGATTTGATAGGAATTTTTTTTCATTCTAGAGAAATGGTAATTTGCGGTCATTATGATATAGAGTCCGGAGTTAGCTTCATTTTCTATTTTATAATTTTTCTGCGGAGACAAAAAACGAATCAAAATGTTGCTTCGCAACACTTTTGCTTCGTTTTTTGTCTTCCGCAGAAAAATTGGGTTTGGACCAAGTTTTCCAAATGCAATTTTTGTTTTTAAATTAAAAGGTCGATTGTTTTTAATTTCACCGATTGCTGATGGTAGCAGATTTTTAGCTACAGTGATTGATCTGAATCTAGGTGATCAAGCACTATAGCTAGGAAAACCGAGTATGAAGTTAGACTAAGCAATTAGACAATTAGACTAATTAGACTAAGAATTTAAAGCATTTGGAGAACCGATAAAATCGAAAGAGCAGCTTCGATAGAATCTTTTAGGATAATGATCGACACCATTTGGTTGTTAAGACGCGATTTTGAATTTCGAGAGCACGAGCTTCGGGCGCTTAAGAATCTAAGAGGTCAGCCAGACACTCACCGGCCGTGGTGGTAGCTGTGCTGGCCGCAGCGCTACTGGTGTGCTGCTGCTGCTGGAACATGGCCGTGGGATGAAGGAAGAGGGATCCGTACATCATATTTTCGTCCTGCTGCTGCTGCTGTTGGTTGCTCGGCTGATTGGCGGCAGTGGGACCAGCGGTAACACCACCGGGGAGAATAGGCGCCCCCGGTGTCGGCGGTACCAGACTGCCGTCTTCAACGGCGACCCGAACAGCCTCAATGTGCCGCCGGGAGAAGACGTGCTCCTGGAGTGGTGACTTGGGCGAATAACGAACGGAGCACAGTCGACATTCGTCAGGCCCCGTTGGTCCCCGATGTGGTTGAACTGCCGAGCCTTCGGCCGGTAATCCAGCCGCAAGCCTGGCCTTCTTCTCCTTGGCGCGTGCGTTCTGGAACCATACCTGCAACTCGTCTCCATTAGCACTCGGCAACGTCCTTATGGAATTTCAGTTATGGTTGCGGGATCACGAGGTGGGGGTTGGGGTTGCGGCTGCACGAGGGGTAGCGCCGATGCTCACCTGGACCACGCGCTTCGGAAGTCCGATCTCTCGTCCAAGCATCTCGCACTCGGCCATCGTCGGTGTCTTGTAGTCGGAGAACAAGGATTTCATCACCTTCACCTGGGTCGCTGACATCTGTGTTCGGTACCTCTTGCCACCTGATTGTCCGCCTCCGCTCCCGCTCACTGATAGACCGCCACTTGTCATATTACCGCCGCTCTGCGCACCTTGACGTGAACTCTGTGTACTTGACGCTGGACTGGCTGGTCCACTTTCGTCGTCAAGGAATTCAGTGGTCTCGCTCATACTGTCGTCGTCGCAAATACTTCTTTCCGAAAGATCCGTCAATGGACCGCAATCACTGCCGCCACGGAGGTTCAGTACGTGTTGTTCCTCGAGCAAACTGCTCAAACCACCCAGACTTAGTTTTACTGGACGACTGAGATCAACTGGTTTACTCAAGTCCAATGGTGATTCACCGGAATTGCCGGTTGGTGGATTACTTCCCGATTCTTGTTTTCCATTTCTAGTGTGTGCTTGTAGTTCGCTGATGTATCGCTTCATGGATTCCTCGTAATATTTCTTTAGTGATGCTTCCATTTCGGAATTGAACGGTGGGAATAGTGGTGGCATCATGTTGGGCGTACTTGGATTCGATGGTGCTGATTCCATTGAGAGTTCTTCGTCTGGTATATTATCGATGTTAACCTCGCCACGTGCGACTTGATCCGCGTGTTTGCTACTCAAATGAGACTCTAGGGCTGATTTAACTTTGAACAGCGCTGGACAGAAGGGGCAACGTTTGTTGATTACTTGACTGTGAGCGCGGAATTGTCCTTTTCGTTCGCGTGCGCGCGTATTTTGAAACCAAACTTGCACAACACGTTTCTTCAAACCAACCTCACGGGCAATTGTTTCCAACATTTTACGCGATGGATTCGATTCCACTTGGTATTTTTGATAGAGATAGTCGAGTTGCTCGGGTAGAATGGTAGTGCGGAGTCTTTTGTCCTTGGGCTGTTCATTGTGCTCGGCACTGGAACGATTCTCACTAGCCCCATCGTCAAATTCGTCAAATTTTCTCTTACCATCCTGCATCATGGCGATTAGTGGGTGTGGAGCCTCTGATGATACACCAGTGGTGGCGTTCAAAGCCTGTTGTTGCAAGATCCCAAATGGGGAATCCGGTGGATAGGCTGGTGGGAATAGTGACGGATTCATGATATGTACAAGTTGATGTTCACGCCACAATTCAAATCTACCAAACATTAGATTGCACTTGTCACATTGAAAACTTCCCTCCTTGGATTCACTCTGAGGTTGGGATTGTTGCTGCTGGGAGGAATTCTGCTGCTGCTGTTGTGGTTGTTGTTGTTGTTGTTGTTGATGAGGTGGAGTTGATATCTTCATCGGCTGTTGCAATTGCTCCGTGAGAGCTGGTGTTGTTGATGGATTATTCGTACCGGTATTGGTTGTCGTCGCGGTACTACTGTTACTGTCCTCAGAACTGAGAACAGCGGCAACTTGCGCAGCGGCAGCTTGAGCTTGAGCACTCCTCTTAGCGTCCTCCTCCTTGAAACAATGCGTCTTTTGATGACGAATCAATTCATAATAACGTTGGAACACTAGTAAACACTTTTTGCACTGATAATTAAGTCCAGGGGTTCTTTGAAAACGTCCCGAACCGTCGTCACCTTCGCGACCACCCGGCGTCACTGGTTCAGCGGCCGGCTGATTCTCATACACTTTACGGGCCTTTTGCCTTGCATTTTGAAACCACACGACAATCACACGCGGACTCAAACCCAAAAGTTTACTCAGATATTCTAAATCATCATCCTTTGGATATGCATTGTTTTCGAAAAATTCCTGTAGAACTTTTATTTGATAATCAGTGAAGCGCGTTCGATTTGCACGTTTTCCCGAACTACCGCCCGATGAATTACTTCCATTACTGTTGCCGCCAAATGAATAATCAGCTGGTCCCCGGCCAGGACTTATGGATCTTTGGGGTGTCAAGGCCATTGCGGCAATTGAACTCGGAACAATGTTTACAACACTGCCGGGACTTTGAGTGGCGAAATTTTGCGGTGTCACTTTTGGTGGTAGCATTGGTGTGCTGGGGGCACTGGTTACCGATGGACAGTGCGTTGATATATCGTGGTGAAGTCCGGAAAAAACTGAACTCATGCTGAGAGCTGGCGAATGTGGTCGCGATTGTTGACCACCTGAACTACCTGGCGAATGATGTTGTTGATGTTCCTCGCTTTGATGTTGTTGGAGAAATTGAATGGGATCTGGCAATTCTTGCTTGATCTCTGGTAGTTGCGGTGTAATGATGGTCGGTAAAGACGGTGGTGGTGACGTCTGTTTATTTGGGCTCTTATCATCAGAACTGCTTCCGGACACACTGGAGTTTAAAGGAGTGACTTTGGCTTCACCTGTTTTTTCATATTCTTCGAGATTTAATGTTGTACTTGGCGGATTGTTGAAATTGTACGGACTATCTTTGTTGCGTTGACGTTCCTTGAATAGTGTATTTCGAAACCAGTGCTTAATCACTTTTGGTGGTAATCCACTTTGTGCGGCCATATCCAATATTTGTTCCTCGCCGGGAGAATTATTAATGTCAAAGTGTGCTCTTAATATTTTCAGTTGATCGTCAGTGATTCGTGTGCGGGCGCGTTTTTGTGAAGCGGCGGCGTTTGCCTATGAACAAAAAACAAAATTGGGATGTTATATACCTAATTGGTAACGGATAAAAAATAGTCCCTTGATTCAAGATATTTTAGTTAAAGCCGATTCGTTAGAAATTATTTTAATAGGAACACAAATATGTACGCAATAAAATCTTCACTGAAATTCTCCCCATATAAATACTGAAGTCCTTATTAAGCTTGAATCAAGGTTACTTTTCCGACATTTTGAAAATACGGAATAAAGAAAATTGAGAAGTATGAAAATCGTAATATAAACGGAAAGGTAACTCACCACGGCAGCTTGCTGTTGTTGGAGAGCAAGATGTTGTTTGGCTAGAAGATCGGCTTGAGAGTTGATTGGAGGATAAGCGTTGGCAGCGCCATCGTAGGGTGGAGGCGGTAGCATCATGGGCACCAAAGGAGGCTGAAGGTTCATTGCAGCTAAAGCAGGAACATTGAGTCCCAATGGAAGTCCCATCATTCCCATCATCAAACCGGGATATTGTTGTAGATGTTGTTGCAACTGTGACGCGGCCATTGCGTTTAAAGCAGCTTGCATTTCGGACATTTGTTGAGCAAGTGTTAATTGAGCGTGTTGTTGTTGCTGCTGCTGTTGATGTTGTTGCTGATTCATGTGATGTGGATTAGAAGCAGTTGGCGTACCGGAATCGGTACTCGAAACGGGTGTATTGCTCAAGGCCGGCGTTGTCGCTGGGGTTGTTGATGTTGCCTCTGGAGTCCGACTTATATTCTCTTTACTGTCCGGCAATTCCACCTTGTCCTTGTTCCGATGCTCCTTGTCGGATGTTAGATCTTGCGGTTGATGGACCACCGGAGTTGTACTTCTCGGTGCTGTTGTTGTTGTCGATGATGAAGTAGCGGCTGTAACTACCACGCTCTTTTTCTCATATTCACATTTAAATTGCTGTGCGTATTTCTCAAGAAACTCACGTGGAACAAGATCCCGATGAACTTCTTCACAATGGGCCTTCAAGACCCAGACGCTGCTGAATGCCTTGTTGCAGTGCTGGCAAGTGCTGCGAGTCAGTTCTGGTATCACTTCGTCCTCGGCATGATCCTCGGTTTCCTCCTCCTTTTCTTGTGCAGCTTGAGCAGCGAGGGCTTGCTTTTGTTGCTCCTGCTTTTGCTGTTCCTGTTGAGCTTGTAGAGCGGCGGCAGCCTCCTCCTCTTTACGCTGTCGTCGCTGGTGGTTTTCGTTGAATTGCATCACGAGATCGAAACCAAAACTCTCGAGTAGATGTTTGTACATTTGAGATGTTTTGTGTCGTGGTTGAGAGAGAATGTCTTGGGTTTGTGAAGCCTGTTGAGAGGTGGCTTGTTGGATCATTTGAGGTGCGGATGATGTGGGTGGAGGTGTTTTTGAGGGAGTACCCATTTGTTGGGAGGCGGCTAGTTGTTGAAAGAGAGCGAGTGGATTGCTGAAGATGCAGTAGAGTTGTTGATGGGTGGCTAGTTGCTCCTGGTTGATGAAAAGGGCACTGCAACGTGAGCAGGAGAGCATGTTGTTGCCACTTGTGTTTGTGTTGGAGGGTGGACTGTTTGGACTCGTGGGTGGCGGTTGTTCAATCAAAGGTCTTCCTAGATCGACTTGACCACTTGCGGCAAGATCCTGAAGTTTGCCGGCACGTGTCTGGTGAAGTACACTCCTCATGTGGATGTCCAAAGTACTGCCCTGAGAGTATGCTACCTTGCAGATGTTGCACTTGTAGGGTTTCTTGTCCTGGTCCTGTTGTGTCTCGGCGGATTCAGTGGGACTGGCTGGTGGAACCACTGAAATTAGTGTGTTATTGTTACCCTGTTCTTGCATGGCACGTTTTAATTTATGCAAATGACTGACACTGTTGTAATGAACGAGAAGAATGTTCTTTTGCGTGAAACTTTCTTTGCATACATCACATTTGTAAGGTCTGTTAGGATCCAAGTATTTCTCCATAGGATATGACATCTTCTCACCTTTACGATGCAGAAGGGTCTTGTTGTGACCAGTGAGGTAACTTTGCCTCGTGAAAGCAACTTTACAACGATGACACTTGAATTTACGTCCAGGATCGTGATAGGAATCTTCAGCGACTGGTTGACTGTTCAGATAGTCCTCGAGGAGCCTCTGCTCTTTGTGCAATGGTGAAGAATCACTGGCGTCACTTTCCTCCTCATCGCCTCGAGTTTCCTCCTCCATGTTCTGCTCAGCGATCATTCCACTCTGCCGCCTGAGAGCTTCTTCAGTGAGTGCTTGCAATAGTGGATGAGCGTGTAGCAAACTTTGTTTGTATTGAGCCAATTCGTCTTCCTGTAGGTCCGAGTGTGCTGATTCGAGATGCCGTTGCAGGGCCTGGACGGATCGAAAACAACGTCCACAGAGGGCACATTTTGTCGCATCGCGAATTGCATGATATTGCGAGTGTTGTTGAAGTTTCTCGAGTGTCTTGAAAGCGAGACTACACTGTCCACATCTGTATTTGTAAACGTGTTTCTCACTCACGGCTAAAGTTGGCGTTGTCGCCGGATGTGTTTCACGATGATGTTGTTGCAGTTCCTCCAGTGATCGACAAACTCTTCCACAAATTGTACACCTGGTTGTTTCATCAACTTCCTCACTGGGTGCTTGTTCATTGTGTTCTTCCTCTGGCTGCTTCGTCATGTTGCCGGGTGAATTTGGCGCCGCTGCTGGCGTTGACGTATTTCTTGGATTATTATTCAACCAATGACTCTGATCAACTAGAAGTAAAAGCCTCTGTAGACCATCAGCGTTCACTGAATGAATTTGCATGACATGCTTCTCAAGAGACGTTCTCTCTTTAAAACCATCTTGACATAGAGGACACAGCAAATCGGGAGTTGGTTCCTCCTTAACATTCTCTGCTTTGTCCTCTGTGTCTTGAACATGAGCAATCTGCATATGTTGTCTTAATTCTTCCCGTGATGTTGGTTGATAAGTGCAGTACGGACAACTAATTTCATCCGAATCTGCTTCCGGCTCTTGATCCTGTTCCGGTTCGTTGTCTGGTTCCTGTTTCACCTCACTCCCACTCTCACTGCCTTCCTCTCGCCGCTCTGTAAATTAACAAAACAAAATATCTCCTGTTATGAAACGAATCAAAACTATTACTATTACTGGGGAATTATATTGTTTGATTCAGTGAATTGTCGCTCGATAGAAGTAGAAATAATCTGAACGGTAAATGTAAATCATAAAAAAAACAAGATAATTTGATAGAAATCGTCTTTCTTTTAACAAGATATTATATACGTATCTTTTGAAACCATATAATTTGCGGATAATGTCAACAAGTGATTTTTGTCTCCAAACTAGAGAGGCACGTCTTTGGTTTTTGCGAATGAATTTCAGTTTATTTGAAAGCCAGAAAATGACGATATTAACGACAAAAGAAAGGAACAATCGTGTCATAATTACACACTCATAACTTTCTCTCTACGCACTCATTCAAAAACCGAGAATTATATATACATAAATACTGCAAAGACTTATAAATACCGAAAGTCTTATAAATACTGCGGCAAATACTCATAAAATACACAAAAGACTCGAATTATCAATCAAAGTATATATAATATAATTTCAAAATTATTATAAATCTCAGTAATTAATTCGTGTATGACGCGTATTGTAAAATTTATTTTTACTTTTTCCTAATGATACACAACGCGACTAATGCACTCACATATATGGACGTTATCTCGATGTGGTTAACGTCAAGAGAAAGTAAATTATAGACAAATCGAACAGACACATCTGAGTTATTATAAACGCGCGCGGAAATGTCAAAGTGAATTTGTCTCCTTTGTCGCGATTATAAACTCCGACCTAACTGAATTTGGAATAAATAAAAAGAAAGAAAAAAGAATGTCTTCACTAACCCAGTTTACGGTAAATTTTCCTCCCAAAAACTGTAATTTTAATACTTATATCAATTGGATACTTCCGTACGTAATTTAAAACGCAGCACATGTTCTATATATCGAATTTTGGCAATGTCCGACTTTTGCAACTGCAGTTTTGTATGTTTTATTCTCTTCCAAAAAAAAAAAAAAAATTACATCGGTATATTCAAAATATACCGGTATTTGAATTCATTATCTACATATCTTGACCGGAAGTGGCTTACGAAACGAAAATGTTGAACCATGCAAATCAATAAAGAAGCACATGCAACACATTTTTGTTAAAGCGATCTGGCGCGAAATTAATTCGGTGAATCGACATATATATACATACATATATATGAATATACATCTAAATACATCGAAGTATTATTGAAACATATTCAAGGAGAAAGTTTTTGAATGTAATAAAGGGAATTCGAAAAAACCAGTCTCGAGGCGGTACATATGTGAACTCGTTTTTGCTAATAACAAAAGTGAAATTATAGATTTGTAATACGAAATTAGTAACGGACGTTACCGAGGAAAAAAGAGTAAAAAAAGAGAGAGAGAGAGAGAGAAAAAGAAAGAGAAAAAGATGCCACTATATCCCGAGTGGCATTGTCCAAAACCGCATTGAGCAGCGTCAGTTGCAATGAACAGGTATAAAATACATAAGACGGCGTGTGCGGCTGTCTTCGACTATACATACATTTTTATAAGTATATAGTCTAACAGATAATGCACTTGGAATTGTGCACGGCATGGCACACGCCACAGCCATATGCCACATTAAATTACCGTCATCGTGGACTAATTGCGAGATAATCGATGACAACACTGAATTCATCATGGGCAAAAGGGCGCCATTTTGAAATCGGATATATATCCCTTTCACACCCAGGCATAACTGGACGGTTAAAAAAACGTAAGTGTAACGTTATTCATAGTTTTCGGGGTCGCTGATTACGAATCTGATATCAGAATTATAAAATTTTTTAAATTCAAAATGGCGTATCCAATATGGCGGGAAACTTTTTTACAGATTGATTGGATTGGCTTGGAAATTGTTACTCGGGGGTTTTTGAGGTCGCTGATTACGAATATGACATCATTTTTTAAAAATTCAAAATAGCGGATTCAAGATGGCGGACGATTTTTTTTAAATCGTTTAGTTTTACCAGAAACTTGTTACTTGGGGGTTTTCAGGGTCGCTCAATACGAATCCGGTGTTATATTTTTAAAATTTTAAATGACGGATCCAATATAGCGGACGTTATTTTTAAAATCGTATAGTTTCACCAGAAACTTGTTACTCGGGGGTTTTCGGGGTCACTGATTACGAATCCAGTGAGAGTAGAAAGAAACAAGTCCATCTACTGACAGAAATAAATAAATAAATACACAATCGCAATTTTAAAATAAACTACAAATTCGTGATAAGAGACCATAAAAACCCTTGAGTGACAAGTTTCCCTCTAATCCAAACAATTTTTACATTTGTCGTCCGCCGTGTAGGATCCGCCATTTTGAATTTTTAAAAATTAACACCTAATTAGTAATCAACGACTCAGAAATCCCCCGAGTAACAAGTTTCAGGTGAAATTAAAATGTTTTAAAAAAATCGTCCACCATCTTGGATCCGCCATTTTGAATTTTAAAAATATAACACTGGATTCGTAATCAGCGACCCCGAAAACACCCGAGTAACAAGTTTCTGGTGAAACTAAACGATTTTAAAAATAACGCCCGCCATATTGGATCCGCCATTTTGAATTTTAAAGATATAACACCGGATTCGTATTCAGCGACCCTAGTAACCCCCGAGTAACAAGTTTCATGCTAATCCGTTTAATTTTTACATTTGTCGTCCGCCATATTAGATCCGCCATTTTGAATTTTGAAAAACTAGCACCGGATTCGTAATCAGCGACCCCGAAAACCCCCGAGTAACAATTTTTAGGCGATTTTAAAATATTTTAAAAATTCATGATTTTTAACAATAATTTATGAATTTTTTTAAACAATAGGAATTTTTTAACATGATCTAGGTTACTTATTTTTAAAGCCCTATTCTTCCTGAAGAGAACGCACTAAATTAAACTCAAAAATATTAAGTTTCTTCAAAGATATTGAGGATTTTGTAGGTGGGACGTATATGTCCCATGGGCGTGAAAGGGATATGTATTTTTTTTTCTTTTTTTTTTGAATATATATAATTATTCACATCACAAAGACGTTAACACTCCATACCGAAAATATGAGTTTCTTGCTTTGGTTTTTATTTCTGTTGTCTTTTTTTTTTATTTCACGCACCCGACTTTGCATGTCACGCTAAAATTCATTCTTTCAAACTTCTCATCGACGACGTATATTTCCACTTTCAACCTGTTACCGATAAAATAACACATATTTTTCTTTTCTCGAGACAATTCACTGAAAGAAACGGATTTTATTTCAAGAAATTTTTTTTCTTCTTGAATGCAAAATCTTATTTTTTCAATATTTGACAGGGGATGAAATAAAAAAAAATAGAAGTTAAATTTATTAGTATAAAAATTAGAGGATTTCCTACTACTAAAATACTAATTTTTCTATTCAATAATAAATAAATAATTATTAGTCAACTTTATTAATACTTGGTCAGTTTTACTAATAACTAATCAACTTTACCAATAAGTAATCAATTTTAATAATTAGAAGTCAAATACACTAATAATTAGTCAACTTCATTAATAATTAGTTTTTGTTATTAGTTTTTGTTACTGGATAATTTAGTTAGTCTAAATAATGTAAAGAACAATAATTTAAAAAAAAGGACAGATAATTTTCTAAAAATTGTTAAAAGCCGTGTTGAAAAGCATATTATTAATTAAGCATATTATTTGAGAATGAACAATAATAAAGTATAACAATTAAATTAAAAATAATATTTTTAAGCATAAAAATCAGGTTTAGCCTGTTTCATCCAAAAAAATAGATATATATTGTTTTTAAAATGGTGAATTCTTATAAATGTCATGCGCATTCAGAAAACAGTGATTCAAAACAGGTTTTGCAATTATAATAATGTGCGTGGGCCACATAAAATGATATATTAAACATGTAATAAAATAATTATATTAGCGATAAAGCCTGAGAAAGTGTTATTTTCATATAAATTATAAGAAAAAATGTTTGTTTAAACGTGTTAAAACGAGAATTGTTTTATAAAATAGTGCTTGTTTTTTTCTGAGAAGAAAGCAAGAGAAGAGAAATAATAATTTGGTGCTATAGAAAATTGCATTTTTTGCAAATTGTATTTGGTTTGGATAAATATATTTTTGATTTAAGTAATTATTTATTTGATTAAAGCAATTATTTAATTATTTCAAGTAATTTTTTAATTGATTCAAGAAAATTATTTTATTGACTCAAGTAATTATTTAATTAACTCAAATAATTATTTAATTGCTTCAAGTAATTATGTACTTGATCCAAGTAATTATTTAATTGACTCAAGCAATTATTTAATTGACTCAAGTAATTATTTATTTGCTTCAAGTAATTGTTTATTTGCTTCAAGTAATTATTTATTTGATTCAAGTAATTATTTATTTCATTCAAGTAATTATTTACTTGATTCAATATTTTTTGCTACTTGCAGTAAATATTTATTTACTTCAACCAAATATTGATTGCACTCCAGAAAATATTTATATTCATTCGAATAAATACTAAATTGACTCAAATAATTATTTTTTTGATTCAAGTCTATATTTATTTAAATGAATATTTGTTTTATTTACAGTAAAATAATATATATTTACTTCAACCAAAAATTCTTTTCGTGTACGAAAATATTTATTTGGATTCGCAAATATTTTATTTACAGTAAAAAAACATTTACGAACAACAATTGAATCATATATATTTTCTACACTGAAAAAAAATTATTTGAATCAAATAACCGATTACTTAGTTATTATAAATTAAATATTTTCTTGAATCAAATAATTTTTATTCAAGTCAAATTCATATTTGCTTGAAATACTGAAATAATGATTCAAATAAAATTTAATTGACTTAAATAAAAATTATTTGATTCCAGTAAATATTTAATTGATTGTCAAGTAATTTGTAATTTGAATCAAATAAATTTTTTTTCTGATTCATTTCTTCTAGAATTTTCTTTCTTGTAATCTTAATTATAACGAGTCAATCTGACGGTAGAGTAAAGAGCAGCGTTAAGCGTTAATAAATTTCGAAAGAGGAAAAATAAGATTTTTAGTAAGCGTGTTTTGTTTAATCAGCAAAATAAAAGGGTGCAAGATTTGTTTGGTGGAAAAAATTAGTGGTGCATTGTAGTAATAAAAAAAAGCAGCAGTGAGTTTTTTTTTTGTTTTGCATAAACAGTGCAAGTGAGTATGTGCAAAGCATTATTTATTTATTTTTTGCAATCGAAATAACAATGAGTTTGTTTTTGTTTTTTTTCTCACCATTGCTTGTGTTTGCGGCATTTGGAGTGGTCGGTGTCGTTGGACTTGATTGTTGCGTTGAGGGTACATCTGGATCGGGTACAACTTGAAAAACATCACCGATATCGGTGTGCGGCGTTTCGTTGCCTTGAATACTGTTTCGTCGATGAATCTGATGCATTTGTTCCATTTGAAGATGTCTCAATGACCTGACATGTTGTAATAGGGGCAGACGATGTCGTGCACTGAACATACACAGTGCACAATGATAAAGCTTTGCCGCGGACGGTACATTAGAACTAGCCTCGAGTAAATGACGAAGAAGAAGTGCAGCCGCCTCGTGTCGTGGCGATGCCGCGTGTAACGCAAGTTTATGAGCACTATTCGTATAATAATCGCAAGCATGGCAACGTAATTGAGCCGCACTCGTTGGTGACGCGAGATACTTTAATTTCCATTCATTGCGGGGACCACCTTCCTTAACATGATTCACATGTTGCAGCCTCTGCAAATGCTTGTCAGTCTTGCAGTGTAACTGAAAATTAGCCTTGAGATTTGTTTTATAGGAACATAGTTTACAGACAAAATGACCGGCGACAAGGGCGAGGATTTCGCCCTCGCGCGTTCTCGTTCTGTCGGCGGCTAAATGTTGTCCTAGCGCCTCGAGTGAGTCGGTGGCGAAATTATTGCAGACACAACAGTGGTAGAGGTGAGTGGGATCGGGATCCGCGGGTTCCGGTGGTGGTTCCATACTGTCGGGGGAGAGACCCACGTCGCCGCCGAGGTTGCCGATGACGTTCATGTTGGCCATGCCGCCCATTAGTTCGGGCGGCAATTGGGGAGGTAGTTGTCCGCCGGTCATCATTTGGATGAGGAGGGCTTGATTGTAGGCCATGTCGGCTAGGGCCGCCTCGGCGTGTTGGGGTTTGTCGAGACCGCCGAGGTGGATCAGTTGCTCGAGTTGTTGTTGATGTTGCTGTTGAGCTTGCTGATGGTGGTGTTGTTGGGCCTGCTGATGGTGACTCTGTAGGGCTGAGAGTGCGTGCATTTGTTTCACGTTCTGCTGCAGTACGAGCATGTTGTGCGTGTGTTTTTCACTGGTCATGTGTATCCTGAGATTTCTGGCGACGCTCGTTTCGTAGTTGCAGACATCACATCGAAACGTTGGTTTCGGCTTTCCTTGTGTTGCTGTTTGACAGCCTAGGTGTGGACTGTGATTTTGTTGATGATGGGGACTTCGTGTGGGGAGGGGTGCATCCTGAGATGATGAGGGATTTGTGGAGGCGGAACTTGCAGCACCACCGCCCTGCTGGATCTCCTGCATGTTGTTCAAGTGCTTGTCACTTTGCATGTGTATACTGAGATTTCCCTTGGTCGTCGTCGAGTAATTGCACACTTCGCACCTGTAGGGCTTGTAGCCGCAGGTGTAGGTCTCGCCTCGGGCTAACCTCGGATGGGGCTGACCGGCGATGCAGTAGATGCAGGAGGTTTCACTTTCGGGATGTTTCTCCTTCATGTGAATTTCGAGTGTCTCCTGATATTTGTAGTGCCAGTTGCATTTGGGGCACTTGAGGGTTTTACAGGAGTTCCGACTGTGAATGCCGGCGAGTGGACCGCCTGGACCGGCTAATCGACTACTGGCCAGGATGAGTTCGCACTTGGGGCATTCGACGCCACTGGGTCTGCCTTGCATGTGTTCGGGACATACGCCAATGGTTGTGCCGGTGAGGAAATTTGGTGGTTGTTGCGTCAATGCAGCGTAGGAGGATGGAGAACTTTTTGTGGAGGCTGAAGGAGGTGGTGAGGTGTAGTGCATCGCAGCGTCGGGTGCCTTGGCCCAGGATGCTGCACTGACTTGAGCAGCGGGCCATTGATGATGATTGTAGGTTAGGGGATGATTCGTGTGAGATGTGGGTGTCGTTGGGGTGCTTGGCGATGGCCTGTGTTGCTGCTGCAACGGACTACTCGGCACTCCGGGCGTACTCGCCGGTGTACTCGTGGTAGTGGGAATATCGATTTCGCTTCCTTCGCTTCGTTGCTGTTGTTGACCTTGCGTTTGTCCGGGCGACGTGGTTGAACAAGTGGAACTAGTGACCGGTTCCAGAAAGCTGACCAGAGGCTGTTTACTTCGGCCGACTGCCTGGAGAATGGCGGAGGCGGTTGAGTGCGACAGAATTTGCCGCTCGTCCTCCATGAGTGTCAGTTGATGTTCACCTTGAGCGTGAGCGACAAAACTCTTGGCATAACCGAAGCTCAACTTGCAAATGAAACACATGAGAATGGGCTTGACGGGGACAGAGGCGGCGGGCGATGGCGGTGCAACAGGCTGCGGTGGCGGCTGCTTGCTGCCCTCGGCGCTTCTGTAGCTGATGACTCGATAGCTGTGCATTACCGGGAGATCAGGGTTGTGTTGCGTCGCCGAGGTGCGTTGCTGCTGTTGTTGCTGCTGCTGATAGGCCTGATGAGCGTAGAGCCTGGACACGTAGTACGCGCTGGCGATTTGAGGGAACACCAACGAGTGCGGTACGGAGACTCCTCGACCGTCGACGATGCAGCCGTCCGGTAGTGAATCATCTTCACTGAGTTCACTCTCGCCCTCAATGATATACGCCGAGCCGTCCGGATTGTAGACGATTTTGCCGTCGAATTTTTCCACATCGCCGCCCGTTGGACTCTGACTTGGACTTGAACCTTGTTGCGTTTGCTGTTGACCCTGCGATTGAATGGGGATCGCGGTGGTAGTGGTGGTCGTCGTGTCCACGATCGGGGTGGGTGTTGGAATAGCATCTCTCGTGCAAGGTTCACTGCCGGAGGGTGGACTCGCCGTGCGGGGGTGGTGAGGTGGATGAAGAGCGGCCCCGGCGGTCGGGGGGGACCCGCCCCCTCGACCACCCTCCTCCTCCGGGCTCATCTCTTGTTTTTGCTGCGCGTACGTGGAATTTTGAAAAGGCCCGCCGTGTTGCTGCTGATGATGGGCCGCCACCAGCTGCTGATAGAGCTGATGTTGCCCGATCGCGTTCGACGAATGTTGCTGGAGGTGTGAGGGAGGAATGTTGTGATGCTGAAGGTGGTACTGGGAGGGATGGGGCTCACTGGAGGGCATCACCCCAAACGTGAGGCGGGCGCCAGCCTCACATCACCCACGGCGCCTGCGCCTTCGTACTCTCGACTTCCTGGCTTTCTTCTCTCTACTGTCGCGCACGTCGACCCACTCACAACCTGCCTCTCCGTCGTACCTTCTTCCGCGCCCCCGGTAGACACTTTATTAGCTACCCCGACGCAACCCCAGGTCGTACCTGCAACACAAACATCAATGTCTCATTATCATAACACTTTTACAAATCACACAATACAATCCTCTTACACAATTTAATTTCAAAATCAATAAATACCGTGTTATATGATAAATGAGACATGTGTTACATTATTTCCATAAAAATATATCAAGTAATTACATCTTATCAATATAAAATCGGAAAATTTTTTAAAATCCCCTATTTACTCTTGACGCGTGGGAGAGTTTGTCAGAGACAGTATTCTATTAATCCCGAACGAAAAAGGGTCGCAGCATGAGCAACAGATAGTGAAATACCCAGAAATGCTGCAAGCTGAGCACACACCAGGGATCAAGAATGACGTAAAGAGGAACGAACACACACAAAAAAGAGAATTTCGTGCTTGTATTACAAGGGCCCGGTTTGTATTCCTCTTTATATACCTGAACCGAGAGCAATCCCAGCTGTGTTTGCAGCTCATCGACCCAACTTATCTATCGATTGAATATCAAATAAGTCTTTCCTTGACCCGTGTGTACTAAATGAAGATAAAAAAAAATTGATCCTTATTCCATTTTGACATAAAACAAAAAAGTATGACACCAAAATGTTTGATAACAAAAAAGTTACCAAAACAAAATATTTGTTACCTTAGTAAAAAGTTGAGATGTAAACTGTAATCTCAAATATTTAAGTATTCACTGAAAATAATGGTTTCTTAAATAAGGTGAATCCAGGCAAAAGAGGAGAAGGCACTATTTGTGGAATTCAGTCGATATGAAAAGGGGGTGGGTGGGCGTGTTCGAGTCCACACGTGCAGGTATCTGTATACGTATATTTACGTAGAGCGTACGCTCTACGTGGGGGTGTACAAGACCGTGACTGCCCGAGGCTCTTTCATCTCGAAGAAATTCCCTCTCTGCAGTCACTTCCCCCCCACCATTCAAAGTGCTCGAGAAGAACATTTACTCCCCCCCCATTTTTCCCTGGTAAGTCCTCTCCCTTCTCTCTTTCTCTCTCTCTCTCTCTCTTCTTTACTCTCACCAGAGGCATCGTGCATTGCCGGACATTATGGTACGTGTATGACATTATGCATCCTCCCTCCCACAGTTATAATTCCGCGATACAAACTCGCCATATCCAACATCTCTTGTCTGATGGACCACTTTGTAATGCGCGCGCCGACAAGATTGTCGATGATGAATAATAATAACAACGACGACGACTACGGCGATTCTAGGCAAATTCTATACAATAGAAATGTTGAGTCGATGAAAATAGGAAATTTTTGCATAGAAGCAAATCTCTTGTCGGTCTATTAAATTACAAGTGCGTGATGCTATGCAAATTAGATGTAAACCGAGAGCAAAAGATGAACTGCTAAAAATTAGTGGTCAAGAGATCAAATTCCACACGGATCACACATCAATTTGTTCGACAGAAAAATAAAATTCGACAAAATGAGAGAATAAATTATGTACACTCAGGGAAAAGTTTATTTCACTTAACGTTGAATTACAAAATTAAATAAAATTTATATCAATAAATTTTTGTACTTGAAATAAAGGTTTGTATATATACAAAAAGAAAATCAATAAATTTTCTAGAAAAAAAATACAACCTGTTGGAATATTAGATTTTACTTTTGAACACGAATAATTACTAATGTCTGATTTTAAAAACACTTGACTCTAATTTACTGGTGACACGAAGGACAATTGTACAGTTGTTCTAATTTGCGTGACGTTCCACCATACACATAAATAAATGTGCGTATGTAGACGCATTAACAAAGCGACACGTTATGCGGTAATTTACCTCCCCCAGTGTTTAGTTTTTTTTCCAAACCCATTCTTTCAAATGTGAGAGCTCATTAGTTGTCGTGAAAGTGTCGATCTATACAGTCATTAAGTTTTGAAATTCACTTCTTTAACTCGACACAACACATAGGGGAGAAGCATAATTGTCATACCAACACCTTTTTCAACTCAAAGAAAATTTATTAAACAAGGGCTTAAAGTGCGTGTTTATTGTTCAACTTGCTCCATATGTTGGAAACACAAATTCCCGCAACTAAAGTTTACACAACACTCGACGCAATGAGAAATGCGACGTCACTTATATGTAGCGCGTCTCGTCAAAAATCGATTTTCTCATCCCTATTTTATTTCCTTTCGAATTTTTTTTCTTTATTTCCCATAATTAAATGTAATCGTGTTCTATTTGGTAAAAAAGAGAAATAAAAATCTTTTAAAAACTAAAATTAAAACTAAAATGATAAGAGGAATATATACGTACCTATGAAATAAAAAGTATAAATAAAATCGTCAAATTTAACGAAACACAGATTACTCAGCACTTTTAATTATTAATAATTTGTGTTCGATTAAATTCAACAAAAAAACAATAAAATCAACAATAGAAATTAAAATATAAAAATCACTTCTGGTATGTGTTATTTGCTGTCACGCAATTTTTGCGCTTAGAATTTGTCACGATATCAATCACACAAAAAATTAATCTTATTCTCTGATTTCATATTATACGAATCTCTGAAAAACACATGAAAAACAACCCCTGCGCTTTTATTTTTCAACTGGTGGGGGAAACTTCACTGGTAACATCTGCCAATCCTGACATCACCTGGCGGCGAAATTTTTCCTATTTCTAGCAATTTATTACCCTTCAGACACCTCTCTTGAAATGTTGGAATAGGAAAACAAAACGTTTCGTGACGCTCGATTCGAAACACAGTGTGTTGCTACCTTTGTTTTTCTTTTTTTTCCTTCTTTTTTTTTATTATTATTCTCTTTTGGCATTGGCCCTAATTAAACGATAAGATCTTAATTATTGTTCGCTCACTTTGGCGCAGTTGAAATTGTGTGCGTGCTTATATATATCTGTTTGTATGAGAGTTCATTATAGGTTCACTCAATAGCAAAAACCTTTCGTATATATATATTCGGGTGAAAAAAAAATAAAGAACCCAACGTGTCATTAGTGCAAAGGGCGAAAATTCACGGAACTAATATATTCCCAACTTTAACAGGATTTTGCTTGAAAAAAAAAACGAATTCTGCTGAATTAATTTATACTTCAAAAACACTACTTATATTTACTGTGGAGAGAAATTAATTACTCTTTGATAGAAATTTTTTACATATTCAGTAATTTTAATTTTTGAATGAAAATTTTTGCGATGCAATTAATTTAATTGTTTGTTAACACAATATTTCTAAGATTATATCAAATTGAGACAAAAAAAAGAATCAAAATTGTTGCGATGCAACAATTTTCATTCTTTTTTTTGTCTCAATTTGATAATCTGATAGTTATTGCTCTATCACTTTCAACCTGAAGTGTTTAAATTTGATTCCAAAGTAAAATTTTTCCCAGAAAAAATTTCATTATAAAACTGAATAGTTTTTTAGAAAATAAAAAATTCGAAAAAAACGATATTTTTATTTCCAACAGTAAAAATATCATTAAAAGAAATAGTAATTAAAATCAGAGCATGTAAAAACAGTAAAATGTTTCTAATATTTTTTTCCGTGATAATAAAGTTGAAAAAATAATATTAAAAAGAAAAGAAGTTTATATGTCATAATAACGAATAATGTTGCGGGAAATATAAAGAAGACAATAAAGATATAGAAAATAATGAAATGGGACACAAAAGATAGAAACATAAATAATAATAAAAACACAAAATATTAACTAATTTTATAATTAATTTATTAATTTCATTAATTAATTTATTAATTTATAATTATAAATTTTTTCCCCCTTCAAAATAAAATTTTTTTCTATTTCCCACATATAACATGAATGAATTTATAATAATGAAATATTTTCGGGAAAAAAAAAATTCCCAGATGTATATTTGCGTGTCTCGCGGATGAAATACCGGTATTTCTTATATTTCGAGGGGGGGGAGGGAAATATCGAAGACAAAACAATTGAATGTGGATGCAAAATGTGTGTGGCAATAATCAACGTAAGTAACGGTAAATGATACAGGTGGTTGATAATTTCATGATCAATGGTGATATGTTATATGGTGGGTGAGGAGTCAAATACGTTCATATATTCGCCACAAAGTCAAGTATATAACTTCCTTTCTTATCCTTAGTTCTTCTTTTTTCCAAAACCGGAAACAGAACCGATGTCTGACTGGAAACTCACGCGAAACCTCTTTTGTCCGCCTCAATATACAGACAGGGTGCAGATCATCATATATCATATATCTATATGCACATGTACACATATAGAAATATTTTTTATATGTGTATATGTGCACATGTGTATATGTGCACTTGTGTATATATATATATTTCTATATGTGTTCATGTGCACATGTGTATATATATTTTTTTATGTGTACATGTGCACATGTGTATTTACACATATAGAAATATATTTCTATATGTGCACATGTGCGTATATGTGCATATGTGTATTCACACATGTAGATACAAAATTTCTATATGTGTACATGTGCATATGCGCATATACATATATATTTATACCCTTTAGACCACATGACGATCGGCCACACGTTTTGCAAGACAGACATGGATGCGCGCAATTAGACCCCCTTCAATTATCTCGTGCACGTCTCGTTATTTATTTTATTGAATGTCCTGCCTCCTTATTTTTGATGTAAATAACTCTTCTATATATATATGTGCCAAAGAGAGGGGGGAGGAAACAATACAAATTTTTTTTTCTTTCTTAATATACAAAGAAAAGAAGAAAACAGGCCGGACACAGAAGTCAAAAATCTTTAAAATCCAATAAAAAAAAAAAAAATGTTCTCTCATATTAAAATTCACAAAAGAATCGATTTCCGATCAATTCAAATTTTAAAAAACAGGAAGCATTTTGTGGGTGCTCGATCTTTTTAGGGCAAACGATGAAAGTTTTTATCGTTTACAGTTAACTTTCTTTTATATACAGTCTGCTTTGGACAGAAAAAAAGGGTTGTAATCAATGTTACAGTTTATTTAGAATTGAATATA